GCCACTGGCTACACCAATTCGCCGGCCGATCTCTTCCTCCAACTTTCCATCACTAGTAAATATAGTTCCGCGATTCATTCTAAAAGAGAAAAAATTTAACTGCCTTTTCACGCATTCAAAAGCTTTCGAAAGAACAAGACTAGAATGGTGATGCCAATCGCCATAAAATTCCATGGAGTCAGTCGATTTCGCTTCACTATAAATAGCTTCCCTTGCAAGAACAGATGAACGCTGACTGAACGGTCTCTACGTCACTGATTATGCACCGTGCTAAAGATTCAGTGGTGCTATTGTAGCATAAATGAACCACGTTCTTGATCTGACAAGCTCCGGGAACATAACAGAAGTATTCAGAAACTATAGAATGGTATAGTTCAATTCGCTGATTGGTGTCAGTCAATGGGTATTATCTGTCATGCTGCTAACCTGGGAAACCAGATATAGGCAATGAAATGTGAAAATCCAGTGTCTCAGATAAGTGAAAAATCTAACTGAAGACCCTTTGTTGATACGGGTTTTTTCAACTGTACGCAGCTTGCAGCCCTTCTGCACGGCTAAGATGATGCCGTAAGAAAAAGTTTGCATGTACTTCAACTAAAATTGGAAAAGCAGATATCAGAAGACAACTATTTGCACATTTTTGCTGGCACTCTACAATAAAACTGTTATATTTTTGAAATAGACCTGCTAACAAGAGGATGATCAGTTAAACTCTTCAGAAAATCAAACCTCTTGTTTACGTTATGGAGAGCTGGCGCCGATTTAAGTACAGAACTAGGCATAATGAAGAATGTTTTTTCCAGCTCCTATGATAATTAGTGCAGGTGGATCACCTATCGCGAACCAAGAAACGGTTGACCGACTAAGCAGTAATGGTCTGTGCTACCAGTGCTCTTTCCTTTTAACGTCATATTGCCTTCGATGAAGATACTTTGATTGTTAGCCTTGATAAACAGAACAGGAGACACTATTTGCAGACATGTTTTCCACCGTAGCAAACGTGGTTGTTCATTTAACATGTCTGTTAACAGATGCAACCGATTTTCTTAGAATTTATTTCACTTCTCAGGTTGGTAACCTGGGAATGACCGTTTATTGTTAATGTATAACTTTTAACGCAGTTTGATTGTTTCCTTTTATGCTGGAATTCTGCTCATAAGAGCATTCCTGTTTACAGAATGATATGCCGAAAATATATCACTGCATGGCAACGCTGTCCTGCAAGTTGCACGATTTTCATTTGGCATTGGTTCTGCTTTCCAGGGCCATTGTTGTCAACCGTTCGCGTCCCTATTTCTTGAATCTTTGGGCAAGATTTGTTTCCATCCGCCAGTTGGCACTTGCGCACGGGAAAACTGCCGATGAAGGGTACGTCTTTGAAACGAAATTCTTGAACTTGGGCTCGCCTCGTTTGCCCTCTAAAGTCGCAGTTTTATTTAAAGATGCGCCAATTTTTACGAGACGTACTTCTGCGGCTGTGGGGTCGACGCCAATGTCGTACTTGACAGTGCCCTTTTATTCTGTGATCAACTCAGGTACGACTTGTGAAGCGTTACCATGTAAAGTTATTATGTCCACTCTCCAGCGCTGTTGTGTTAATGTTTCGTGCCGCTTGCATGTTACAGTACTTTGTGTCATAGGGCAACCGAGTCACTGTCCGACCTTGAGTTCGAGAAAATTATTACCCACGCCGCTCTGTGTTTTGCATCTGACCCGTTGGTCAGAGCAAGGGCTTTTCTGAATTTGGCAGTCCAAAAATACAGCGACGTTGATGCCGTAAAGTCGATTGCTCTGTTGGTTGCGCCGCGTTGTGGTACGTAACTTCACACGTAATTTTGTAGGGCTGTTCAGTACTGTGCCGAATGCATTCGACTGGCGAATAGCGCCACGGACTGTGCTCGGAAGCATGCTATCTTGTTCAGCGCGTACGTTTGGTTCCACATGTGCAGGATGCAGAAAATCAGAAGCGCGGTACGTTCACAGCGAAGCGATTTTAAACAAACTTTTGAACAACTTTTGCTTTTCTCATTAAATAATCCATTCGAATTTATTTACCTCTGATCGTTTTTCTGTAAGTTTTAGGACAATACAACAGTAAACGCTGTTTGCAAATTAACCGCTTGTCACCTACCAAATAGTACTAAGCACCACCTTGCTGTATAATAATTATAACCCCACTTTTATTTGTCGCACGACTGGTTCTGCCTAAGTAGTTTTTATTTATTCTCTCCCGCTCACTGTCCTTCAGCTGTTGTGAAATCTCTCTTTTAGGCACTG